GTCCTCATTAGGGCTGTGTATAGGCATGAATTTGGTGATATGTTACACATCACGACACGGGGTCTTAAAATGATAAATCACAATATATTGCGATACTGTAATTAAGGACACTCATCACCATTTTTTCTACCAAAAGATTCAAATTTTAAAAACTCAGTACAAAGAGCACACCACGTATTCATAAAATCTGATTCAATTAATTTAGTTTTATGCAATCAGAACACTGATCGATGAGAACTGATGTGTAAGAAAATATCGATACACTGAAATATTGCGATATTTTATTTCCTGATACTGTATCGATTTTTGTTAAGGCCTAATAAATGTATATAAGAAGAAATTTGAAATATAAATGACATTCTCACTGTTCAATGTTCTTCTGATAGCATAAAAATAAACTCAATTTAATCAGATTATACTGAGTTTTTAAAAATCAGCATATTTTAGAGAAAATAATGGTAATATATTGCGATATATCGTGACCTGTGTGTCATGATACGTATCATATCACCAAATTCTAGCCATTACACAGCACTAGTGAGAACTCTACTTGTATTTAACGTTTCTTTTTACAACATTAATTAAGCTTTAATCAAAAATCTGTGTTTTACAGTGTCAGGAAATAAAACATTGATTCTTCAGTTTATCAATATTTTATTACACTCTAGTTAATAGATGTTGTTTTGGGAGGAGATTTTGTCTCAGTGAGCCATAAATAGGTCATAATTTAAAAATACTGTTTGTCCACACAGCTTGGTGTAGAGAACGCAACAAAAAATGTCCTTTTTCTCACAATTTTAAGCCACCAACTCGTCTCCAACTGACTGAGATCCTGGTTTCAACATTCCTGCTGAAAGATTAGGAAAGACTTTCTGCTTTGGTTTGTGGTTTCATAAATATAATCTCATTAAATATGTTCATGATCCAGTTTGTCTCCAAGCTGTGAAACTTTAAATAATTGCTCTGTTAACAGGATTCAGAGAGGAAACATCGTCTGCGAAGAAACTGGTCAAAAACAGAAAATCTGCCACTAATCAGTCAACACTGACAGAAAATAATCCAGGTGTCCTAAACCACGAGCTGCAGAGAAGAGAAGCTGTTACAGACGGTTTGTGTGCTTTTAGAATCAACAGTGATCCGTTTTCTAAACTTATTGTTTCTAATGAGTATCACTGAGATCTGCTCCTCAGGCCAGGCTAAAACAAAAACATCTCTGGAGCCAAAATAAGCTCCTTCCAGGGACGAGTGTGGGGCGAGGCGAGGGGCCGATGAGAAAAAAACAAACGTTTCAGTGGGAAGAGAACAGAAAAAAAGCTGGGAAACGACTTCCTCACCTGTTAAAAACAAAACAGGTTAAATAAGCAGCGTCAGAACTTTTATCAATCTGGTAAAGAAACTAAGTAAAGCTTTAAAGTGCCTGTCACGTCAATTTTTTGTAATGCATATGAATGCATTTTTAGAAAGAGGACATTGATAAAATATTGCAAAAGAAATTTCACGTCGCTGAGATGAACAGTTGTTGAGATATTTGCCTGTGAAGTAACAGGAAGTGATGTCAGAGGGGAATGTCTGCATGTGAACAGAGCTTTGCTACAACAGCTGACAACACAGACTGTAGAGAAGAATCTGATGTTTCTGTAGATTATTTTGAGTCTCTATCAGAGAGATGAAGACGAGTTAGAGTTCAAATAATATTGTTTCAATAAAGACCAGAGTTTTCTTTGTTAAAGACTTCCCCTTTGATGTCACTTCCTGTTTCCCATTTGACAGGCAAGTTTAAAGGAAAAAAGGTCAGTTATGTGTCCAAACGGGTTAAATCGTGTGTATTGTTTCAACTTTCTTAAATATAAACGTTTTCTTTGACTTTTTGTATTTGAAGAATATGCATGTCACAGGTACTTTAAAGTTACTGTGTTTTTTTTTATACCCGCTTATTTTAACGTCAACAAACCCCCAGTGTATGGGATAAATCTTGTGCCAGCAGGAATGGAATTTGAATAGCTCAGATTGAATCTATATGTGTATAATTTGAAATTGAATACATTGGTTTAAAAATGAATTTTACTAAACTGAAACTTAATTTAATTATTTGAAACTGAATTTAAAGATTTGAATTTGAATTTATTTGCTTTGAAACTGTATTTTGCTTTATTGAAAATTCAGTTTGACTACTTTCACTTTCAGTTCCATAATTCAGATTTTTGTGTCACATCCTGGTCCTTGAGAAAGCCAGGCAGAGTAATCAAACA